AAAAGAGAAAAATCGAAAAACCCACAATATGAAGAGAATCAGAGGCCAGAGCAAGTACTGATACTTGACTAACCAAGACTGCATTGTGAATAAGTATTAGTGGAACAATTTAATTAATTTGTACTCAATATAATAAAAATCTAACACAATGAAAGGCACTGTGTTTTAAAACAATGTTATATACAATATATCCAAGGAATTACTTCAAAATGAGGGAACCATTTCCTTTGGTACTGCTGATTTGGGAGCTAGCACATGAAATAGTTTTTAAAATTAAATGTTACATTACAGCTCTTGCATATTGATTTCTCTTGCTGACTCAGATAGTCTTTTACATGATAAATAGAATGACATTCGTGTATTTTTCTCTTCTATACACTTAAGATTTTATGATTGGTATAACATTTTGTCTAAGCCAAAAACAATAATTAAATATTATTTTAGCCCACTTGCATTGTAAATGTTCTTTTAATCAATATCTTCCATGTTTAATGGTAAGATAAAGTTGACCCAAGAAAAATTCATCAGGATTTATGTATTTAAGTGTTTCAAAACTCACTATTTACAAAAAAAAATAAAAATAAAAAAGGCAACTGAATTACTGTTACCAACGCCATGCTCTCCTTCATAGATTCTTCGTGTCTGAGCCAACCACAACTCATTACTTTGGCCCTCAGATTGTTTCTGTCTTCAGTAATCCTATCCTGCACACAAATTCCCCAAGCCAGAAACTACAGAGTCCATTTTGAACCCTTCTTTCTACATACCATCAACTAACTGTCTGCAAGCCTGTACCAAACATATGCTCTTCCTCAAGTGCCCCCATTACTCTAACACCCTTTGCCTCTAGGTAGTTGAAACTCCATCACCAAAAGCAAATGAAGAAGACCACCCCACATTCCAAAGTCCCTTCTCCATATTTTTTAGTCTCCAGTTCCCTTCATCTTAGCATATGTCCTATTGCAATAGTACATAGACCACCTTCCCCTCTGCAGAGAACTCTATCAGCAGGCTCTTGCCTATCTACTCTTCAACACTTGACCTAGTGCCTACACAAAGTTTATCATCAGGGTTTGCAGATGGGTTGGAACCACAGACTGAAGCTATTTTCCTTTTTGAGACAGAGCTTTGTGTGCGTCAGGGGGCCTAGAATTTACCATGTATCCTAAGATGGCTTTGAACATTGGTTACACTACATGATGACTTCTCTTGTAGTTATGTTCCACCATACTCAGTTTGTGTAGGCTGGAAATCAAAGCCAGGGATGAGTGCATGCTAGCTAGATAATCTGCCAACTCAAACACATACACGTCCCTCTATTTTATTGTTTGCTTGCTGGTGTTGTTTTAATTTTACTGTGGTAGAGAGGGAACTCCTGTTCTTACTCATACTAGATAAACCACAAGCCCAACTTCTTAGGAACCTATTTTGCAACGGCTCTATTTCTAGATACATTTATAGAATTAATTGACCACCTTTCATTTTTTAATTCTACAGCAGTTATATGGGTTTAATATGTAGTGTATAGACATTCCATCTTTTTAGAAAGACTCACTACTATAGGGCAGACAGACATGAATTCAAATGACAACAGGGTACTGTGAGTCTCCCAGAGTAACTGGAGCTCATCTCTTCCATCGCATGAGTCGCTGCTAAAAACCACATAGAAGTGAGGCAGCTATCCTCAAAGGTGCCGGGGATTTGAATTCTCAGTCCCCAGCAGAGCAATAGCTATAGCTAAATCTACTTAATAAAAATCATGTTTTAGGGACTGGTCCTCACTAAAAATATTTAATCTTAATTTTGACAATCAAACACAGGAACCCAAAAGCGTGTATAACAGATTTCACTGCATGTTGTGTCCTGTTTTCATTAATATGTAAGGAAATCCTGGCTAAGCATTGATTATAGGCCAGTTCCAGAATATAAGAAAAAGCAGTAGTACTTAGAAACAAAAAATCAGAAAAGCTTGGCATGGAGCTTATGCCTTTAATTATACTCATGCAGGAGGATCATATATTGGAGGCTGTCTTGGGCTACTTAACAACCAAAGACCAGATCAAAAATCCATTCAGTTTATATTCCAGAGGAACAGAATTAATAAGTTAGATGAAGAAAATAAAAGAAAGAAGGTGAAAGGTTTAAGAAGGTTCAAAGGCTGACCAGGAGCTGAAATACTGAAATGTGATATGTGAGCAAGGATATGAGCTGGTTGAGGACAATAGAACATAAGAGCATCTCATAGAAGATTGATTCACATATTTGTAGTGGTATCAGCAGATTTGGTATCTTCCCATCAAGAGCATAGTGATTTGCATGAAGTTATCTGTAACAGAACCTACATACTGAGAGATAAGGCCATGGTTAAGAGTGAGAGTCGAACTCTGAAAGGCTTGGATTTTCTGGAAGTATGGGGCTCCACACTAGTTCATCATAAGGATTTAGAGTTGACATTGGATTAACTAAGGAGTCACTGGAGGTCTGGAAATAGATTAGCATATTTGGGAGATTCCTATGTCTCCCAAAATATTGAGGGGCAAGAGGAAACATAGAAGATAAGATTCAAGATTCTTCTTTAAATCCAGGAGAAAAATGGTGATTGGAATTGGAAGGGACTACTTAGTAGTGGGTGAGACGGAGTTAGATTATTGCTGTACTACTCAACAGTGAGTGGTCAGGGAGAAAAAGATTGCAATAGATAACCAGAGAGTATCTTTAACTAGCTGCAGGCTGAACCTGGCCTTGACTGGGATAACTGAGACAATAGGAAAATCAGTTTGAGAAAGTCTGTTCTTCAGAAGGACACTGTCAGACAACTAAGTGCATTACAAGGCAGCAGATATATGAACCGAAAGGTCATGGGTGGAATCTGGGTTGGAAGTAAGTTTGAGAGTCACCTGAAGCAAATGGAATGAGAGCACCAAGAAAGTGAATCTGAGTCCAAGGGAGAGACAAAGACGCAATCAAGACCATGGTGGTACAAATTTGATTAAGGAAGTTTAGGTGGGTGAGTGAGCCGGGACAGATCCTGAATGTGCTGTATCCAGAAAAAAACAAAAAGTAGGAGAGAGGGACTAGCAGGGCTACATGATACTGCTGAGAACGTATGATGGGTCCTAAGTCCTATCCACATAATAAGTAACAAAGTTACTCACAGCTGAGGACAGTCTCAATGGAACTGAACACTGAGGAGGGTTATGATGGGTTCAGTAGAAATGAAGAAGGTTGGGAGTGATAGGAAGGGCAAGTCAGTCTTCCAGGAACTCTTAGAAGACCCACAGAGGAATCTGAGGCTGAACAGAGGTGCTAATAGGTGTTCAGAGTTTTGTTGTAGTTGTGAAAAATAAAAGTATTTTTGCCTGATAATGAAAATTATTCCAGAGAGAGAAATAATTGGATGATTTAAGAGGAAGATAATTTCTGAGATTTGCCCTTGAATAAGAGACTGATAAAGGGATAGAAAGCACCAATCAAGGTTGCCTTATAAAAGCCCAGAGAGCTCTCTCAGATGTTGAGCCACAGGAGTAGCTAGGCAGACCAGGAAATACCAGTCAACTGTCAGTATTGTCAAGTAGATTTCTGATAGTATGTCTTGAGACCTTGCATATGCACTTGCATATGCACACATATAGACATATTGCAGCCAGTCATTTGGCATCATGTGTGGTCTGCCTCTGACAACAAAAATTCATCTTTAAAAGTCGAGTTTTAAATGGAACCCCTTCTCTTTCTCCCTACTGTTAGTACAAATATCAAGAATGTTTAACTGCTTGCAAATTTACGTGATTATAAATAGTGGCTCTCATCTATACCCCCATGCACTTCTGATTCTCAGGGGAATTGTTGGCTTTTGTTTTTCCCTCTTAATGCAGGCTTCTCCTCTGTGGATTAGAAAGTGTAACTGGGAGTTCCTTGCCTTATATAAATAACTTGCAGTGTGGAGTTCACTGACAGATTTAGAGATTAATTTCTAGACTTCTTACCATGGTGAAGAAGCTCTTTGAGATTTTGAAAATGGCAACAATATTGACTCCCTCCCACTAAAGGTTACCTGTGTCCACATCCACTATAATGCATGAGGAAAAGTTTAACTGTGGTAAATATCAGTGTTGTTTTCCTTATGGAAAAAAGGGTTCGCAGGGAAACAAATCTTGCAGGATGAAAAATAGTTTGCCCTCCAGAAACACAGTTTGCATGAGAATGTTTCTCTTCTTTCATTCAGAAAGTAGAGCACCACTATTATTAAACCAATAGTATTTGCATAGCAAAACAATGGTTTGATAATGTTGAGTAGTCATATCTTAGGTCAGAGTCTCCAAAAGCAAACTAGGAGCCAAAGATTTGGATATTGGAAGTAGTTACTCAAAAAGAGATTTGAGTGTGATTGTATTGGGGGTTGTTAGGGAAATGTTCCCATCCCCTGAATATTTTGGCTTATATGCTTCTCCAAATATGTGTTTGGCTACATTTTAAGATCTGTGCATTTTCAGGGAAATTTAATCCATATGTTGCAGGGAGGCTATAGGTAAATCATCTGAATGTTGCTTTCTTAGTGCTCCATGATGTCTGAAATATATAGTCTGAAATATATAGTCTTTTATTCTTTTCTATAAAGGAGCAGATAAGTTGCCAAGAGTAAACAAATCAAACAGCAAAAGGTTTGGGTTAGGTTTAAAACGCTTTGCCTGTTATTTTTGATTGGGTTTTGTACTTGGCACTGCTCATTCTCCATTCCTGCCCTCAGGGCAAAGTGAAAACAATTTGAGCTCTGTATTTCCCAACTGATGCATTGGCATTTGAGAATCACGTAATGCAGACAGAATTGGCATGTTTGGCAGGTGAGTGATACCTAATATGACCACGGAAAAGTTACTCTCCTCTGCTTGGCAGTGGTTCATAGCGCGAAATGATGTTAAACACACTACAAAGCACAGGTCAGGACAAGCAGCCGTGCAGGGGTCCAGACGGGGGATTTATCAAATTGTTTTGTGTGTCTTTAGGTGGAGTGGCTAAAGAATGAAGACATAATTGATCCTGTTGAAGATCGGAATTTTTATATTACTATTGATCACAACCTGATCATCAAGCAGGCCCGGCTCTCAGATACAGCAAATTACACCTGTGTTGCCAAAAACATTGTTGCCAAGAGGAAAAGCACCACAGCCACTGTCATCGTGTATGGTGAGTTCCATCCAGCATGTGTCAAGCCATCCTTTCTCATTAATAGTCTTACTTTGTTTTAGAATGTCTAGCTACCAATCTTTTAGACTCCCACTATTGTTCCTTCCAACCTCATGCATGGCCAGTAAGGTTTACCTTCTAGCAGGCTGGTAAGGGTGCTAAAGCTTGCCATCTGGCAAGCCTTGGTAACCTACCCAAGAGTCTGCTGCTTCTCGGATGTCTCATTTCTCAAGGAGAATGAGTACCCAGAACTGGCTGAGTTTGGGACAGAACGATATTCCAGACAGACCAATGATATCTCCTTTGAATCTAGGCTCAGATCGACAATTATAGAAACACAGAAAAGATGAGACAAACACATCCCCCTGAAATTGCTTTCTTGCCTCCACTCAAGAACTATAGAACCATAATAAAGAACAGCTATGATCAAGGGGCTGTCATTCACACAACATGGAAGACTTTCCACTCTCTGGCCCCTCTCACAATGCTCATATCCTAACCTATTGATTCTCTTAAAGTATCAAACAATTTACAACCCTCACTCTGATGTACCATCAATGCTATTACCTCCCTATGCAGCTGGCACCCCATTATCCCCTAGCTATTTTGGATGAGTCATTCTCCAGCCAAGCCTTTAGATGCTTCGTACACTAAGAAATTACACTGTACACTTACATAATTCTCAGAGCATTAGGTCTTTGTTATATTGACATATTATCACAGAGAAGACTAAAAACTCCAAGTATTTGAAATGAGGTTTCCTCTTGAAAAAGAAGCCAAGCTTTACCTCAGCTCAGAAAATAGTGAGGCTCATATTCAGTGGTCAGCCATATGCCTTGATTCTGGTGGCCTAGGAAGGGGAGACTGTGTCTGGGCCTACCCTGACAATTTCTTCAGAGAGTCCTAAAGGAGACAAGATTGAGATGACACAATCCATCCTAACTTTTTAGCCATTTTCTTAGATACAAGACAAGTTCTCAGAAAAATTACCTCCCATCCACTAAAAGGAAAATACATTTCTTATCATTGAGTTGAGTAAGTTGAAAGAAGACCTATACAGATCTTACTCAGTTAACTCTTAGTAACCTTTTCAAAACTTACAGATCTTGGGTCCACACCCCTACATTCATGTTTAGTTCACATGGCATGTGAGGCTTTTTCTTCTTTGTGATGTGCCCATGATGCATAAATATGTTGAATCCCTTTACATGATTTTTTTTTACTTGTTGATCCATATTACATCAATTTAATTCTCATATCATACTAAAAAACCTATAGAGGGTGTGTGTGTGTATGCATATATATATATATGCATACATACATACATGCATACATATATATGGAGAGAGAGAGATTAATTTCTTCCCTCTCTGACAGTACCACCGTATGGTTGTGTCACTGTCACCGACAAGATCAGGAGACACAAGAACAGAAATCATCATGATGTTCCAGAGGCTGCACAGAGATACTTTAAAACTGCCACTTTAATTACAGAACAGAAGCATTCCAATTTTTTAAATCTTCTGATTACTCTGGGGTTTAATTTCCTAGTCCAGATAATGGCTATGTTGAATTATAAGCATTGTATTCCTTAAATCACAGGAAATTGTTTTGTACTTTTTATCTTAGTCTAAACTGCCTGAAACCGTTGATTAACAGCATTTAAAATGCAAAGAAGCAATGGGGCCCAATCATAGTATGTGCAAATTGCAAATAACTAATGAAAGCACACTATATATAGATGCATTCTATAGGTATTTAATATAGATGTAAATCCCTTTTTAGGTATTGCATGATTTCAATATCTGCAAATGTAATGAGAATATTCTTATTAGAAAGGATCATACACAAATAAAATAAGCATTTTTAGACCAGGGTCAAGACCAAAGATGAAGAAACTAGGCCTTGATCAGCAACTATATAGCTTTTAAACCTATATTTTTGTATTTTTGGAATCCTTTTCTTTCTCTGTAAAATGAGGGCTGTGTCTAGTACCTGCAAAAAAAAAAAAAAAAAAAAAAAAAAAAAAAAAAAAAAAACCTTCCAGTTTTTAATGAGACAATAGAATGTTGACAGACATTCTATTGTACATGTTACTCAAAATCTCAGCTCCCCATGTTTGTGAGCAACAGAGATGACAATATTTATGACATTTGAGATCTTAAGAAAGCATAGCAGGGAACCTGTGGACCAACCATCCACTTATGGTTTTCATGGCTCCATAAGTTGAGTTGCCCTAGGCTTGTAAGTTGGGCTCCTCCATCCACAGAAACATATAAAATCATCACATTTCTTATTCTGAATTGCTTGATATCTGCTTCTTCGTTACTGTTGCTTTGGGCTTATAAAATTACATCCATTAGAAAAAAATAATTGGAAAATGCAGAAAAGGTCAATGAAGTTGTTTTTGATCCAGTCATCTATAGTGTTTTCGAGACCAATATCATACCACAGGTGTTTTTGTATGCATAGGTAGTACATCAAGATAAGAACTACATATATGTTATTTTTATTTAACGTACAATGTTAAATATCCATGCTTTGTTAGATAACCTCCTCTTTTATAATTTTAATGGAATGAAAATATACAAATTGACATTTTCCTATATTTAACAACATAAGTGCTTCTAATTATTTATCACTAAAGTAAAATATGTTATGAAGATACCTTTGTTCAAGTCTATAAATACAGTCATGTTTATTTCCTGAATAATAGATTTTCTGAAAAATATAATTTGGGGCAAATCATTTGCGTGTATAAAATCTGATTTGTTTCAGTAGCTAAGCTTCTTTATATCAATAGGCGAATGCATAAACTTGTTCCATAGTGTTTTAACTACCAACAAACAATTCACATTTAAAAAATTAAATAAAAACAAATTGTTGAGGTACATTTTTAAGAAAATCATAATATTTTCTAGAGGCAGATGTCCAGAAATTAATAGTGTGAGCAGAGTGGAATTCTTGCTCTGTAATCACTATATATATATATATATATATATATATATCCCCTCCATCACATATCATAACTAACCTTTCTGCTCAAGATGAGTATCCATTTCAAATGCACCAAAGAATTGCTAGATCAATTGGTAATTTATTTAAAACTAGGATGCTGTAAGATTGAATTCTGTAACTCAGTTCACATGTGGGTTTGTGAAAGTGGATAAAATTTCTTGAATACTATGAAATTTAAAAATGCTGAAGGAAAATAATTAATCATTTGTTTTTTAAGGAGTCCAAGTAGTTCCGATGCTTCGGCTCACAGCCTTGGCATCCAGATGTAAACATTTATTATGCAGGATAAGCTGTCAAATATCATTTTTGGAGTATAACTAGGTAAGGGGATATATTTTTAACAAAAGAATGTTAGACAAGAAAAAGAGAACATAGTCTTATTTTTTTATATATAAATGAGTAACTCCTGGAAAATAATTTTATATATCTCAATTTTGATTCTTCAGCTATACAACAAAACTCTGAAATGCTATCCGTGGCCTCCTCTAGCATTGAAATTTTGTTCTTTTTTATCATTACATAGAAATTACTCTGGTCTACATGCTGTGTGTGTTTTGTGTATTGTACATTCTCGTGTGTTTAACCTACACTTTGCGGGTTGTCTCATTCAGTTAACGGTGGCTGGTCCACTTGGACAGAGTGGTCTGTGTGTAACAGTCGCTGTGGACGAGGATATCAGAAACGTACCAGAACCTGTACCAACCCAGCCCCACTCAATGGTGGAGCCTTCTGTGAGGGACAGAGTGTGCAGAAAATAGCATGTACTACGTTATGCCCAGGTAAGTACATAATTGTCTCCTTCCAAATATCTTCTACCATTCCGAACATATATACTAAAACCTAATGTTGACTTAAACTTGTGATAAATATTAGTTAAACCCATTCAGCATTCAGTATTTACCTTGTTGAGAAGTCTAACCTTCCTCCAAAAGTCCTTAATTTTATCACCTAAACATGCAAAGTGCTATAAGAGAACAAACAACCACAAATATCATACTGTGTTTCTTTGTGAAACTGTTAAAGCCAAGAGTGCACATCCTATAATTCAAATGATATGAACAACATTGAAAACCAGCTAACGTGAGAAATAACAATCCTTGATCTTCAGAAAAACATGAAAATTAATAAGAACTGAAATTTATAAAATGTTTTATACTGGAATAATTGATATGTAGTATCAGTTTCTGGACAAGGGCAAATAAAACATTTGGAATGAATTAAAAGAAAGGCTAAGCTTTATGACACATGAGATAATGGATTTGGAAAATACAACAGAGCCAGCTCTTTATGGTCTGCACATCTTGGCCATGTGTCTTATGAATTATTTGCAGTGGTTCCTATACAAAGATTGCATTTCTCTGCCATTTGGTAACATCCGGTAGTATTTCATATTTCTACCAGCTCTTGACTTCAGGTAAATTTGAGTTAATAGCCAAATTCAAACAAAATCTTAAACATATTAAAATGCCTAGTCATATAATATATCTAGAAGTTAAGATAAAATTCTTTTGAAATAATTCATAAACCCAGTTTACTCAATGGTTAGCAATTCTGTTACATATTTCAGTGTTTTAATGCACAGCCTTAGCTCTCTTTGCTTTGCCCAATTTTTTACTGCTCATCCTTTAATAGAACATTTTTTAGAAGTGGGCAGATAGAAAAACATAATCTATGGGTTACATTTTCAAGTATTGACCCCAAGTATCAAAATGGATTTCTGCACTGAACCTTTGAGGGCTCCTATTTATGGAACACATTTTGACTTATAGGTAAGTGCAGAAGTTCAGATTTTATCATACACTGTCTCCTATTTCACCTAGGCTCTGACTCATATAATTCAGAGTCCATTGACTAATTTGAGTTAAAAAACAGCAATGTGGCTGCACACACACACACACACACACACACACACACACACACACACACAATATCCACCAACACACACATATGTGCTAGTGCTTTAAGTAAAAGGTACATATTGTTATATTGTTGAACTATAGCAAAACAAACGTTAATTTGTTAAAGACAACTCTATATTATGGAAATAGCAATGTGTTCCTTAGTTTGCACATAAACATGTTTGTGTCTTGGTACACATATGCATAGTATATTTACTCGGTAATAAGACAAATTTGCCCACCACTGTAAGCTACTAAAATTTATATTACTTTTGCAGTGTTCACATTTTAGAAGTCAAAATGTTCAATAAATGATATTTGGCATTGTTTTATGTGGGATTCTAGATAACCATAAACATTTATGTATTTCAGGGGAAAAATCAAACACTTTTTAAAATTGGTTTAACATTTTAATCCTTCTTCTTTTCTGTAATTAAAAGAATTTATTTTGAAGTTTGACAATTTAGTGTATTTTTCAAATTGACATCAAGTTGTATATCCTCAAGACAGAGTTATCTCAACTCATGATCATAGAACTTTCTTACAGGTAATCCACCAAAATTGGGTCAATTTTGAATTATGTCACTGCTAAAATTAGAGATTTACTTAAATATTATTTTAGCATGAATAGAAATGTGTTCTCCATCAAATCATGGCGTGAAATCATAAAATAAGCTACAAATAATATTGTTTTTACAGGAAGGCAAGGCAAAGGTTTCTGTAAAATCAAGTGGTCTGGATGCCAAAAAGAAAATATAAAGAGTATGGAAGTCTAGAGGCAGGGGAGGAGGAGAAGAGAATGGATGAGTTCCATTACCACTACACATCCTTGGCTTCCAACTCTCATACATTTTTGCTTTCACGTTTTACATGTACTACAAATGCATAGATCAAAAAGGAAACCCCTGATCTTCAATACAATATCCAGAAGTCTCCCCTTTAACGAAGACTAAAGAGGTGTGATGAATTGCTTACATAGATACTAATGTGTCCACTCAGCCTTCCTTGACCCCTCTGAGGGGATAAAATGCACAGACCTCCCACAGGCAGGGCATGCCTCATTCAACAGAGGCTTACATGAATGCCAGGCTTCTCAGTGGGGTGTCTTCTTCCATTCTTACTTACCGTTATATTGGCATTGAGCCTTGCTTCTTCTAGCCTTTATGTGGCTGCTTGTTATAATCTTACCCTGGTTTTTCTCATGACAGTGGATGGCAGGTGGACATCATGGAGCAAATGGTCAACCTGTGGGACTGAATGCACCCATTGGCGCAGGAGAGAGTGTACAGCACCAGCGCCCAAGAATGGAGGCAAAGACTGTGATGGCCTGGTCCTGCAATCCAAGAACTGCACTGATGGGCTTTGCATGCAAGGTAAGTCAAACTGAAGCAATGCAGACTCTGAGAGGCCCATTGGCTATCTTGAAGGAATATTAGTAATTGGGGATAAGAAAAAACAATAAAAATGTAATTCAGGGTCTATTCCAGTTTCTTTCATAACTTGGAAAAGCTAATATCTCAGGAACCAGAATGAATAATAATTGTCTGGTTAATCAATATTATGCATAGTATTGCTTTCACTCAAGTAAAAAAAAATAGTAAGAATTCAGCCATTTCCATGGAGAGGCTGTCATCCTTTCTAGCCAGAAAACTGTTAACTTGGTTGCATTACCTTGTACATGAGGGTACCTTAATGTCCTCATAGAATCAAAGCATGTCTTCCAAAAGTGAGCTATTTACTTGTAATTCATGTTTGGCACTGAACCAACATCCTTGAAATATGAAATATACAAGGACAATAAATATTTTGCAGGTATAATAAATGTATAATAAATCTTTAGTAAAAACAACTTCCCAACCTCTTGAAAGTGCAAAGTTGTGTTAGAAATTACATCATAGGTATAGTTTAGCTTACTCTAAGAGAAAAACAATTTTTAATGAGCATGGAAGTTGGCTCAGGTGATATGGTTGATGCAATGAGTTATATTCTATTTTTCATGCTTTATGCACAGAATTTTGTCAGCGAAATGATAGCTAACACTTTCAAATTCCGAACCATTTGTTGAAGAGCTCTTAGATGTTCAGAATTTATCATCTCTTTTCCTGACAATAAATAAAGTGCATAGATTTCTTTTTTAGGCAAATAGATTAAACAGTGTTCCATGGTGAATCTGAAATAACAGGGGGCCAAATGTTGACATTCCTCATGCACGTTGCATGTATAATGAGATGCATTCACAGAGGAGTGATTGTGTTTGTTATTTAAGAACAAGTACATTGTCTTCACCACACAAACCCAACTTTGTTTACTTTCCAGAGTCTATATACACAAAGACCTTTCAAAAGGAAACTTACTTAAAGTACCAATACATAACAATGTTGCTAAGGTTGAATGAAAATCCAGGAGCCTCTCAGTTGTGTTCCCCAAACATTGATCTATTCCTAAGCTTGTAATGATTAGGGATAGCTACCATGTACTTCACTGTTCTTGCTAGAAACATGAAAATAAAGAAAAGGCAGATGTTTATTAATTGTCTATCTAGAGATATAGGTTTCATCCCCATATCTAGGCATAAGTTTTAATTAAGGACCAAAAGTAAAAACATGAATGTGTTTTATTATTTCATATTCTTCTTTAGTATGAAATCCACTGATTGATGTAATTGAGAAGTATAAATATTTACATCAGGGATTTTTTTCTTTAATGCTTTCATCCTTTCTCAATATAACAACTCAACATTGATAGATACAATACCCTCTGCTTCTACTCCATATATTTAAAATTCTGCACAAGGTAGTTTACAGTGAATATACTACTACATGCTAGAACATTGGAAGTTTCTTCTACAAAATACTTTCTAAGCTATGACATTTGTTGAACACAAGACATTTAAACTAAGACCTTGTGACCAGCAGTCCCTCAATATCTAACTCATTTCTCTCAGCCATAATGGAATTTTCCTCATGATTATTTACCAACAATAATGGCTGTCAGTGTGCTTACAACTAGGAAGGACAGTCTGGGGCACAGGTGGTGTTTTGAGTTTGTTAATTTATGTATTTTCTTACTTTTTTTTTTAATCAAATCTTATTGGACAAAAATAATTGAAGTTTGGATTGAAGTTACTCAGGTAAAAAGCCATTTTTTTTTCCAGCTGCTGTGATTTCTTATGCCAGCAGTTCCTACTAAGTCAATAAACTTTCTCATCTGTCCCCCTAGATCTACTCTAACCCAGAAGAGAATTGTAGTCTATACAGCTATTGATTTCCTGGGTGATAAAACAATGGTAGAGAGATTGCTTTGCTGTATAATTATAGTGTTTTACTGTGAGAGCTTCTAGCCTCTGTTTCCTACTAAGCTTGGGATTTCTGGAGAAGTATTGCTGCCAAAGTTTTACAAAAATATAATATTGCCTTTGGTTGGAAAACAGGCCATTTTAACAACAAAACTACACAGCTTGGAAGAGAGAAAATGTCTATGTTAAGAGAAAGGAATGGACTAAAACAGAAAGCCACAGAGTTGCAATTGCAAATGCTTTGGGTTAATTCAACCTTGAATTTGTTAAGTTATTTAGCAAATCAATAATATTACCTACAGCAATTACCTACCCAATGTCATACCAAGTATGAAATAAAATAATTCTACTTAAAATTATATATAACTAATTCTTTTATGAATATTGGTATACTGCTAGGTAAAAAAAGAAGCTCTGAGTTCCTGATAGATCTGAGTAGGTTTCAAGAGTTCCCTAGATGCCATAGTACATTATTCTTCAGAAAGCTAAATTGGCATTTAAGACCTATGAAAGGGGAAATTAATAGAAAATGCTGTTGTCAATATTTAGTCATCATTTTGCCCAAAAGAACTAAATTATGACACATTTATTTCTTTACTACCTAACAATATAAGAACCTTTGACTCAAAACATGTAGAAACATTAGATAAAATGTTACAGACTTGAATACCACTAATCAGGCACGTGCAGAGAAAGAAAGAGAGAGAGAGAGAGAGAGAGAGAGAGAGAGAGAGAGAGAAAGAGAAAGAGAAAAATCTACAAGTACCAGGAAGGTAGTTGCAAGACAAAGAGAGAGGGAACTGTGTGGGAGACACCACAGTGGCCAAGAACCAAAGTGGACATGATTTGGATCTTCGAGTGTGTAGGAGTCAGGATTTACACTGGGGTCAGGGGCCTAGTAAAAGAATTGGGCTGAGATTCAGAACAAGAACTAAATAAAGCTGCAATTCATTTATTGCTACCCACCATGAAAAACAAGTAAAACTTTTTTGCCAACCATTCTAACGAAACCACAAGAAAATCATAGTAGGGAAAAGTAAAATGAAGTATTCATTTAAGTAAAATCTGTAGTAGAACACAGCTGTGGTATGGAACTTAAGATATACTACAGGAAGCAAGAAACTGAAAGATATGTAATTAGCATACTTGGAACAGCTTCTGAGGCAGCTTAGCAGAAAGTAAGCCACTGGACAGGTCCCCTCTGCAATCTAAGTCTATTCCTGAAAATTGCATGAACTAATAGTTTAAAATCTCCCAAGAGAACAATCTAGTATAAGGGTCAACCTAAAACAATGCAAAGGAGTTAACATCCTGTCACGGGGCCCCAGGACAATAGTAAGTAAAAGTATAAAGGCAACTGTTTTTTTTTTTTTTTTTTTTTTTTTTTTTTTTCCAATGAAAGCATAGACTATTGTTACAAGGATGGGTACATTTCATGGAATCAAACAGAATGATGGAAAATTTAAAGATGATTGTTGAAATTTAAAGCTCCATACAAGATTAACAATCAGATTATATGTTCTACATAAAAGTGAAAAAAATCAGGAAACTGGAGTACAGATCAAATAGAGATGAAATAAAAGTATGTTATGTGAACAATAGTTGGACAATTGACAATTAACATGAAGAAATCTGACATTTATTAATCAAGAAGGCAAAATAGAAAAAGATTGTGAGACAAAGGTTTCATTTGCTTCTCATAAAACTCATTGAGTGAACAACAAATTGGAAACAACAAATTGATACTATCAAGTAAAGAATAATTGAGGGCTAGCCAAATTGAGGAGAAACTAAATGATATTAATGTGGACTATAAGATGTTATGAACTAAGGTAGTATTTTAAAATTTCATGTATTATTCTGGAAGAAAATCGTAAAGTTTTTCACATTATATTTTATTGATTCAAGTGATATAATGGTAAGACTGTCGAGACAGGTTTAAATGAATCTGTAAGACCCAAGATAAAAGATAAATAGGTATTTATTAGGGCAGCACCTTCACATATAAGAGTAAATAACTGTCTTCCTGTGCCTGAAGAGGTAGTCTTAGCCCTTTCAATTCTCTCACCGCAACCCAAGAGTGCAAGCCATCCTCTCCTCTTCCTTTTAAGGGGTCACATCTGCACACCTTAAGTTCACTGGCAAAGTAAGATGACACTACAAGACTGTCTACAAATATATGGATTGAATATAAAAACTGAAGGTAAAAATTTTAGGGGTAGGAAAAGAGGGGAAAAAATAGAAATGTCATAATCAATACCTACAATAAGCAAGATGGCAAAAAGAAACATGCACATTTTAAGGACTACATTGTAAGTGAATTAAACTCACTTTGTCAATGGAAATTTAATATCTATAGAAAGAAATTCAGCTTTACGCTTTTGATGAATTCAAGAGGTAAGCAATACTGAGAAAGATTAAAAATGAAGACATGGAACATACAATATCTATTCTAAATAGCTGATTAAAATCTTTGACTAACTGTTTTGATCATTGTTTAGTTCCATTTCTCATTATGATTAAGTATGTTTTAGTTATTATTTTATTCATAGTTCTAATTTATAGAGTTAATTTTCTTAGACTCTATAGTTTTAAAGTAATTTTTAATTACTTACAAAGTTACCAATGGTTTCATAAGAGGTCTTAGATGATTTTCTAGATATTAAATTTGACAACAGAGGAAGACAAAAGTATTGACTTTTGACCTCTGCAAATGCTCTCATGAAGAGCACAAATGGACACATACTTAAAACACACATACACACACAGTGTTTTACATATCAGTTATAAAAGCATCGAATATTTTTAATAGGTTTATTATGCAAAATGTTGATGCATTTGTGGTAGAAATGTGTGTTTTACTTGTAGATATTAAGATCTTCATAATTCAAGAAAAGATATTTAAAATATATCCTTTAGCATACCAAACTTGAATGAATAGATTTCAATTAATTAATAGAAACACTACATATTGTTTATGTACACATGTAATTTTTAAACACTACATATGTACATGTCAAGTACGTCTATAGATTTTTAGTTGTTTCTATTGCTTTTATTATTATAAAGCCCATTTTT